TTTGAATATGTCTGGTTAGTACATACCCTTCCCTTTCCCAAGTGACAATCTCACATATGTATTTCAAACAATCACGAAAATTGCAATGGATATTGCGGATAACCACTCAAAATTTGCAGCCCATACGCGGTGTTTAATGTCAATACGCGGCCATTGTGTGGTGTACGCATAGTGAAACCTATGGGTCTACAGCCACTCACTAGACATCTCTGCATGGTGCTAACAAATTACTGATTAAATTGAATGGTATCACGTGCAATCAGCTTCCCCCATGGGAAGCATGGCACAGCCTATACCAATATTCTTTTATTCCCGTAGCTATGCAGAAGACGTTACTTCAGTAACGTCTGGCACTAGCCAGGGTCCACACAGCTTTAATTTGGTGTTTGTGTGTTTGTGTCACACCTGGCGCTATCCCGTATCTGTCCCGTACCGTACCGTACCATCAAACACAGCTGGCCACATACAGCTGGCCGCACTTTTCAAATAGGGCTTTCAAACGCAAGATCATAACGTGAAGCAACTTGGAAGAATGAGTATGAATGCGAAGTGTACGGGGGAATGCATGTACGGCGATAGTGCGGGTTCGAATTCTAGGTATTAAATGTCTTAAAAAAAAGGAAATTTTTAAAATATTTATAACATCCCTATTCTTTTTTTGCCGTCATCAAGGCGGTAGATGGTGTCGTATTACCCTGTCCCGTAGCTGTCCCGTACTTGTCCCGTACCGTACCGTGCAATCCAAGACGGCTGGCCACAATGCAAAATTATTCAAATACGGCTTTCAAATACAAGATCATAACTTGAAGCAACTTGGAAGAATTAGTATGTATGCAAAGTGTATCGGGGGATGCGTGCAGGGCGATACCGCGGGTTCGAATCCCAGGTTATGTCAAAAAACAAAAAGGAGAAATTTATAAGAATTTATAAATGATCTGATGATCGCCATAGCCGTGAAACTCGGAGTCACAGCCAACCTAAGCTCCGCATTCTATTCCTTTTGTAATATTTTTTAACATCCCTTTGCTTTTTTTTGTCTAGGTCATCAAGGCAAAAAAACATAGCGTAGGGCCCTGAGCTTCCAAGCTCTCTCGTTTTCTGAATAGGAAAAACCCAACCAGTGGGTACTTAGACCCGTTAAGGTAGCCCAATAACAAAACTGGTGTGGAGATTGTTTTTTTTAAATTTGTTATACATGCCCTACGTAGATGTATGGAACAAGAAATGACGATATATTAGGGGGGAGGGGGGGGGGGTATTTGGGCATCATCTTCCAGTATGCCGCTCTGATATTACGGAATATTTGTGCCATTTCTTCATAGTTGGACTCAGGTGGAGAGCCAAGGATTAATTTATAAGAAGAAAAGAGGACCAAGGAGCCTTCACCTTCCCTCCGATGTTATTTCTATAACTTAGAACCTTCCAAACTGGAAGGCTGTTGGAGTGCGCGTCCAAGATGTACTAGGACTGATTGTCAGTTAGGTGTAAAACGTCAGTACCGTTGGTCAGTGTTGTGCAATGTTATCGCATGAGCTGATTGTCAAGTAACTGCTGGTGTTAGTGGATATTATAGCGTAACTTGTAGTTCCTTGGTCCTCTTTTCTTCTTATAAATTTCTCCATAGGGCCTGCTTTGCTACATAGCTTTGCATAGGCCAGTATCATGCTATAATTCCTGCAGATAGGCCACCTGTACAGAGTAACATTTCTAAACAACAAATTACAGGCTTTCCCCCCCCCCCCCCCCCCCCAGCAATCTTCCCTAGCCGTTTGCAGGCGGTGAAATGGGCACAAATTGTTTATTTTGTACGTAAATGGACAAAATGGAGACGAAAAGGTAACATAAACCCAACTATGATTTTTGGTCCTTTTCAGTCGAGGGCACTTTTTGGACTTCAAGGTGATATGGTCTAGCACGCAAAAGCGATAGGCGCATACAAACCGAGTGTACAGTGCGCATTGTTCTTACATGTATGATGATGAAAGCAAAGCATTGTTCATGCACGTATGAGGCTATGATCCTGACAGTATAGCATTGCAGTCGTAAAAAGATTACCTCTACTATTTACGACTTCCCGAGTTACGTGCAGCAGCCACGCTTGACCGAAAGTCGGCTCAAACCCTCTCTGGCTCTGTAAAGGTTGCACCAGGTACACATAAGTTGCAGCCCATAAGAAAAGGGAACTAAGCTGCACTTAAATGATACAGACAAAGGCTGATTCTGAAGTTAGAACTTGCCCTCAGTGTTGGGTAAAGACCGTGCACATAAAGCCACCCCCACAGTATTTGAACGGTCTCTGCCGGGATGACAGCCATACCATAGCTCAATGTTTGGAGCATTGTTGGCCTCAAGCTATGGTCTCTGGTTCGAGTACTGATACAGTCAATATATTTGTCCAAACGTATTCTTCAGACTAATCAGGCGAACTACCCAGCATCAATCTGAAAGCCAAGAAAACACATACCGTATTATCTCTAATATAAGCACAGTCTCCAATAATAGCACGTCTCCAATAATAGAACACCTTGGGGCGGCATTCAAAAAATAAAGTGCTCAGTCTCCATTATAAGCACACTATGCAAATTCATTATCTGTGCCGGCGAATAAACTCTGAAATGTGTGTGTCTGACATGAATTTGGCATGGCAACAAGCCTCTGAAATGAGGTTGAAATAATAATGGAACAGTCTCCAATAAAGGAGCTTCTCCAATAATAGCACGGGGCGGAGGTACATTGAAAAAATAAAGGACCGTGCTTATGAAAAGGCGACGAGGAGACAATAACTTTATTAATGCGATTAATAGTATAAGTGAAGCGGACATTACAAAATGATGAATGAGAATACATGTACCGGTATCTAAATTGTTGTTCCTAATCGATTTTCTTGAGACTATCATCAGGGAAAAATCGTCACAAAACTAAGACTCTTCACCTAGCATTCACACACGTATTCATTCGCATACACTTACACCTCACAGTTCCTCACTCTATCACATTCACCTGCTTCCACGCCTTCATTTCACTCACCTTTTGCAGTAGCTCACACCGTCGGAACACTCTCACATATTTTCTTCTAATTTCTTTCGTCTTCTCTCCCACTTTAGTTTTTTTTTCACACCTCACCTTGTATACTTCCCACTATCCTATAACCTATAAGTAGTTTGTTTCACTGTATAGCCTCTATTGTGAGACGATTCTTCCCTGAGGATAGTCTCAAGAAAATCGATTAGGAACAACAATTTAGATACATGTATTCTCATTCATCATTTTGTAATGTCCGCTTCACTTATACTATTAATCGCATTAATAAAGACCGTGCTTATATTAGAGATAATATGGTAGCTGGAAATTTGTTACCATTTGGTCTCCATATAGTCCATTTACGTCCAAAGAAACAATTTATGTCCATTTCTGTGCATTTTTCCATGCGTGCGTTTGTGTTATGTGAGTGAGCGTGTGTGTGTGTGTGTGGGGGGGGGGGGGGGGTTGGTGAGTGTGTGTGGGTGTGAGTGCGGGTGTGAGTGCGGGTGTAATGGTGTGTGTGGGTGCATTTGTGTATGTAATATGAATGTAGGAATATGTGAGTGTGTGTATTAGAGTGTTTGTATGTGTGTGTGTGTTTATGGTTATGCAGCTTAGCCGTTTAACGGCAGTGGTATATCAAGGTCAAGGTCAAGGTGTGTTTATGTGTGTGTTTGTGTGTATGCATGTGGATATGTATGTGTATGTGTATGTGTATGTGTATGTGGTTCTATTTTTGTCATGCAGTGGAACAAGGTAGTAGCAGGTCTTGGAAGGAGTTTTTTTTCTTTTTGGAATACTTCACATCCGGTAGTACCACCGCATGGCAAACATGCCAAGCTTGCCACGTACAGTGACAGACTGGTTGCTGTGTGGCGTGATGGTGTGAACATCATCAAGATCCTGCAGACATCAGACTTGCAGACATGGCACAGTATTGACCTACCAAGTGAATACAGTAAGCTGGCTGGCCCATCACTGGCATCCCATGGTGGTATGCTGTACATGCACTGTAACACATACACCAAGAGCACCGACACACCGGTGCGCTCTATTCTGCAGTACTGCGACACACCAGATAACGGTGACGGCGGCCGCAGTGGTGGTGATGGTGGTGGTCGATGGACCACACTTACGGACGTCCCGTCGCACTGTCGCCATGACTGGTGTACTCTACATGTATGTGCTGATGCTATTTCTCTATATGGTGGCCAGCAGGATAGTGATGGAACAAGGCACAATCATGTTGGTATCTATTCTCTCGATAGCAAGCAGTGGGGCTCTTCTTTTTCATCATCCAATGCTAGCCTAGTATTACCTTCATTGCCACTATCATGCAGCCGGGCATCACTTGTCACATTCCCTGATTCACTGTACTTAGTTGGTGGTCCTACTGGTTGTTTCTTCAAACACCATGATGGTAGGTGGGTGTCCACCAGTCCACCTGATGGTGTTAAGCTGAAGTTTAGTGCAGCATGCGCACTGTCTGACCACTGGATGGTTATTTGCCCCAACACACCTTCTGCTAAGTGTGTCGTATATGATATTTCATCTGGACAGGTCTATCCACTACCAGCTATACCGGAGCACAGTCGTTACACCCCATCACTCACACTGTTTGGCAGTACACTGGTACTCAGTGTAGGTGGACCTGGCAGTGCTGCTGCTCTGTACACACTGGATATGAGTGTGTGAGTGTAGTAGGTTACTAACTACAGTCAATCACTGATGATAACTACAGTATGCAAACTGTACTGCTTTTCACTTTCTCTCTATTATCAGGAAGTTGCTAATCTTTGTTTTTACATCTTTCTGGTTGTCAAGTAATTGTCTAGTTTTCCGCTGCCTAATCCCCTGTAACATATACCCAGATTGGTTGAGTGAATATTACTCTTACCTCTATAGTCACCTCCAAACTTACCCATTCTTTCCTTGATGCATCCACAGCAGGAATGTGAATTGTGAACTGAAAACTATTATGATTTTGCGTCCTCCCCTGAGTCTGCTATGTTCTAAGTTCTGACATAGAGCACTTTCTGCAGCCGGGGGTTCCACGGATTTGTTGATTAGGTGTGTGCATTTTTAAGTATGCTTTGAGGGCAAAGGTTGGGAGGGGGAGGGGGGGGGGGCTTGTGGAGTTGCATTATGCATGGTTTCCATAGTCGGAGGACCATATGTTCAACAAGCTGTTCAGTGAACACCTGATACTAATGCTTGTCTGCATGTTTGCACTTTGCATTTCGGATATCCATGACAAAGCCATGTCTGGTTTCTTGAAGAGAGAGACGAAGACAGAGACCGATACCAAGACAGAGCTAGAGGCTAAAGGCCTATTCATACTTCATTTCACGTACGGGAAACGCGTCGCAAAGGGGAAAGCCATCGCGCGAAGGTCGCACGATGAATTTTCCGTACGCGAAATGAAGTATGAATAGCCTTAAAAGACAGAGACAGAGGGGAATTGATATACAAAAGAAAAAGCGGAGGGGCAAGGTACGAACCCTGGGGAACACCGCAGTTTAGCATATATTGAGAAGAGGGAGTTCCATCCAGCTTCACATTTAGACTACGGTCAAGCAAGTAGGACCCAAACCAGGCGTGTGCCTCTGGTGCCATGAATGCATTCATGTGGCGCAGGAGCGTAGGATGATGTACTTTATCAAACGCTTTCTGGAAGTCGAGAAATGCACAGTCAAATCTCTGGCCTCTATCAGAGAGACGGGCAATCTGATGGGTCAAAAGAATGAGTTGATCCGTAGCTGATCGTTGTGGAACATAAGCAAAATGATTGGGCGAAATTATGCAATTACGGTAAAGAAAGCTGTTCAGGTGATGGGCTATGCGGGATTGGAAGAGGCGGCTGATGGGATGGAGCCGTGAAATGGGACGGTAGTTCGTAGGCAAAGAAACACTTCCTTTACACATAGAAAGAGGAATAACCGTTGCTGATTTCCATGCAGTGCGAAATTGTGATGTGGATAGACTGGAGTTGAACAAGTAAGACAAGGACTCGCATACTAAATCAGCCATGGACAGGAGTACTGGAATAACATAATTACTTGAAGTCGATTTTCGAGACGAAAGATGTGTAAGGTCATAGTGGACTTGACCTGGTGAAAATGTTGGCATCTGGAACCGAGGAGTGGTAGTGTCAAGGGAGGAATCTAAACAAGGGAATTGATTTGCTTCTTGTGGTAACGTACACTGATTGGCGAAATGCTGTGCAAGAAGGTTCACCTTTTCCAATTGCGTGTTAGTCCGACGATCGCCATCTTGCAAATCTGGTATCAATGGTTTACGAGTTGAAATGTTGCAAAAGTCCTTAACTCTCCTCCACCACACATATCCACCTGTCGTGCAACCCTTCGAGATACTGGCAGCGTTGCGATCAAGAAAGGCAGATCTGGGAGCACGGATTTTCTTACGACAAATATTCCTGGATACACAGTACGCTGCCTTTGCTTCAGTTGATTGTGGATTTCGCAAATAAGCATGGTACAGTCTATTCTGTCGCCGCTGAAATTGACGCAGGTCAGGTGTGTACCATGTCTGATTTCGCTGATCACGCTTACGCACCCAGGTTGATGACCTTTCAACTAAATCTAGGAAATGGGATTCCCATGCTTTCCAAGAAGCATCATCAGTTTCACATCCATAGAGGCGCTCAAGGAATGGTTCCCTTTCCATCAGGAAACGAAGCCTATTAAAATCAATTGTTCGATGCAGTAAAGTTGTCCGTTGTGGTGTTGGTGCACGTAGTGTAAGAGAAACGATAACGGGGCAGTGGTCTGACAGGGGTGGGAGAGTGGTGATTGACGAGATGATATCTGGAATATTGGTTGCTATGATGTCAAGTAGAGGAGTGCAACCACTGCGCATACTGGGGCGTGTACCATCCTTATTGATAACCGTGAATCCATATTGCACAAATGCCAGTTGCAGTGCTCTACCACTACTGTCAGTGACGTCAGAGTCGTTCCATGCACAATTTCTTGCATTGAAATCACCTAACGCTACACAGTTGTGGTTATCGAATACATGAGAGAGCTCGTTAAATAAATTCGTAATTCCAGCAATTGGTTGTCGTGGAGGTCTGTACCAAAAAAGATACAAACAGAGGTCTACCAGGAAGCTTTACCTCAACCAATAGCATTTCACAGCTGTTATTCCCAGGCTGTTGTCGAACACTGCAGGTATATTGTTCCTTGACAAATAGCGCCACTCCACCCCCACCAAGTTGGGACCATGGCAGGGATGTGTTGGCGCGGTCAAAACGGTGCAATGTGTAACCAGGAATCGCAATAGCCGCATCTGGTATATTGGGCTTGAGCCAGGTTTCTGTCAAGCAGATAATGTCGACCGATTCTGACTTGACTAACTGTACGATTTCCGCTTGCTTGCTTATAAGGCTGCAGCAGTTAATAGTGCACAGTGTTATTGCTCTAAATGCGGTTTTTGGAGATCCCCGTAGGTCCTATGCAGAAGAATTACCTGACAAAAGTCGCTGGATATCCTGCTGGGATACCGGCTTTCCCTCAAGAAGAATTATGTCAAGCGGAAGGGTACATCTTATACCTTTGGCACGGAGCTGCTTGAAGGTAGGCAAGGCACGACGTCTAGTGTCTTGCTGCTGCCTTGTCAAATCATGATTGATGTAGATACTGTGCGTACCATGTTTGAGCCCAAAACGGTGCTTCAGAAGCCTAGCTTTTGTTCCTGGGTCAGTTCAAACGTGAACCAGCCGTGGTTTGTTCTCCAAGGGCTTCCCGATTCGTCTCACGGTAATGGCAGTTGGGTTCACTTCGGGCACCAGCCCGCTCACAAGCTGGGTGAGATTTTCAACATCGGACTCCGGAAGTCCTGAGATGATCACGTTATCTTGGAGGTCATGTTGCCGGCGCTCTTCCGGGACGATTTCCCGTACGGTGTGGTCGAGTTGGGGCCCTGCAACAGATGACGGGTGCGTTTAGTCCATCAGCCAGTGGTGCCAAAGTGAGTCCCCTGTTGCACTTACAAATCGAACACCTGGAACTGACATCAATCGACAGCAAAAGCATCACTGAATCCAACCTGCCTACTTTCCCTGGCGAAACTCTTGCACTCCTTTTACAGTGCGCCTTGGAAGTTCGACAAACTTTCTTCTTCTTCATCAGCCATTACGAGGTTTTCCATCCGTTTTATCAGGACATCCAATGCGTCTTCAGTGAAAAACGTGGAGTTTTGTCAACGTTTGGTGTGATTTTCCGTGGCGATCGACCTAAAATCGCGAAATAAATTGCCGTCGATTTGAGCAGAGGTGAGTTGGTTTGGAGCACGTACAGATTCCAAAAATATGTGTACATGCGCACCGGGAAGAAGATGAAGATGCTCACCATTTTCAAATAACTAATTCAAAAAACTACATGACTATTGGCAAGAGTGGACTCTTGCTATTGTACTGCAATTGTTGTAGTTACTTGTTTGCAACTACAATGGTATCAAGTAGATAATCAAGCGAGGTACACAGGGATTGATGGCTGATCAAAGCCCAAGGGACCAGCCCGAGGGCTTTGATCAGTCATCAAGCCCGACTGTACCTCACTTGAATATGCTTCAGACGATCCCCAACAATTTTTTTGATTTTGAATTCAATCGCTTTATTCTTTGGGTGATCTCGAGTGTGGTAGATAGTACTTCGAAGTAGTACAACTGTAACTGTACTACTACCTGGTGGCAACATGTTCAAAGCAGCCTTGCCTTTATTTCAACTGTTTGCTGTCAGCATCCAGAGCCATGGCGTTTGCTAGTTGGTCGTAATGGAGAAGAGAACTGCAGGGCATTCACTCGATGTACAACATCCATCGCCGCAGATTCCTTACTTTTAGCTCTCCACGTTCCTTATTTTTCCAGGGATCAGGACCTTCCCGGGGTGATTCCATTCAGGGTGGAAGCGTAGATCACACTTTTGCCAAACAGTAAAAACTACGCTTCAAACCTGCTTGACATGACTCGGGTGCACACTTCGGAAACCCGAAGGTGGATGATGTTCAATACTAGCTCATTGTAATCTTCCTGAAGGTATGTATTCGGATGCTCAATTAAATAGAACAGTGAAAGAGATGTGTAATGGAACAACACTCTACAACTTTAGTTTAGGCGAACAACAATTTTATTGTAATTTGAATCCAGGCACACGTGTAATACGGAAACTGCAATGGTTTACACTGCAAATCTTCTCGATTTGCAAGATTTTTCCCGTAATTCACAAAAATCTGAAAGTTCATTCCTGAAACGCGCATGGCACTGATTGGAGATTGGGTTTAGGTCACAACAATGGCTGTCGATGAAATGCCAAAAATGGTCACTTTGTCGGCTTCCCCTGCAGAGCGTGCAAGTCGTTTACTCTTTTTATTTGCGGATTCGGTGTACAGGGTACCTAACTTCCCCATTGAGGCCAAAATCAAGTATTCGATTTCTAAGTGCAACAGGGTGCTTGAATTTGACGACTTCTGAGTTCTTGGCTGATGGACTAGTTCTGGATGCATCGGATCTCCCAAGAGACTCCACAGTGCATGTCAGTTTGCGGTTGCGGTGCTCAAGCACCTCTACTCTTTCCTTGAGTTCTTTGCATGTATTCTTCAATTCTTCAACTTCAACAATTATGGCCGCCATTCTATCATCAAGAACTTCGTTCATTGTTTTTCTGAATTCCGAGATTAGTAAATCAAGCGAAACAACACCTTCTACATTGATACTCCCTACCGGTTGTAAGCCGCAATCCGGAGCGTCGCGTATCCGTTTCCTCGCACCAGCTTGCAAAGGTTCCGTAGCTTCGCACTGCACACTGCACAAACTCTCGGCAGGGCTAAGTGCCTTGGCTTTATGGCCATTCATCCTGACAGGACTCGGTGTCGGTGGTAAAATATCTGTTCCACTGCTGCTGCTAGACATATGCCCTCCGCCACCAGCGAGGGTGGGGCTTTTAGCACGACGCAAAAAA